AGTGTTTCCTGTCCAGAAAACAGATGCAGTACTTCAAAATCATTTAGTAACTGTATCATAGACACCTTTTGTAGTCAATAGCTGAAAAACTCATGGACATCACCTGTCCTGTCCTGCTCTGCCAGGCCTGAAAAGCATGCTCTGTTGGGTTGACTTGACCATTAAAGAATATCTCATTTCTTTAGTTTGAGAAACTCTCAGGTTGCTTTTGCAGTATCAGTTTTGCAGCATTTTTTTTTGAATCTGTGCAGAGTAGAGCCCTGTACACTTCACAGTACATCCTGCCACTTCTTCTTTCTTTTTTTTTTTGCCTGTCCCGTTTGGATCTTTAGCCATCAGAATTGTTGTCTGAAGGCCAAGAAAGATGCCAAGCGGATTTACTTTACCAATTGGATCATCATGGCCTTGTCATATTTGATTGACCTTTATTATAATTAAGTATTTATTTTACTTGATTTTCGGTTGTTACAGACGGGGTAGACATGACTGGGGGATAGGACAGGGAGAAAGAATGAAAGAAAGAGAGGGAGAGAAAGAAAAATAGAGGGGAGAAGAGATGGTGAGAAAGGGGAAAGAAAGAATTGAAAAACAAACAAAACACCTGGATCACCTGTATGGAGATAAGAAAAAACAGAAGAGAAAACAAACAAAAAAGAGCAACATAATAAATACAACACCATCACAATAAAGTAGCTAACAGTAGATAACAGTAGATACTAAATATTACATGTTACTGTGCAGTACGCATGATTGACAGCGCACAATGTGATTTGAGGTAGCAGCCAACAAAGGTGTAGTTTGTGTCTGTGAACACCTGTGTGGATCAGCACGGAGTGTGGGGAGCCATAGCCCCGTCCCCCAGAGCATGAAGCAGGTATGGAGGAGATCCAGGCCCTAGACATCCAGAGGTCCCAGAGTACGAGGACCCGAGGAAGACCACCAGGGGGGCAACCGTGTCACCCTCCTGGGAAGAGCTTTTTGAACATTTTTTTTAATGAGCATGAAGTATTGATACTATTGTGCTAGTATTGATCCAGTACCAATAGCAGTGGTGATACTGATACTATTGATATTTGGATCAATAAGCTCACCTAAATTATTACCTAAATTATTAAATCATTTCAAAATATTCAGAACCTTTGATTGTGTTGTCTCAATAATAATAATAATACACAATAATAATACAGTTGATCACACTGACTTAACAGGAAAACGAGTAGGAACGAGGTTAAAGTGGGATTCAGCAGGAGGGGGAAAGCTAAAATTAGTTGTAGTGGCTCAGTGTGGAGAAAAGAATCACAACTCGCAGTAATTTCTTATGAGAGCTCCAGTAGATTTTCTTGCACACCTAAATTCAACAAGATGTCAGCAGATGTTTAATGTTGGCCTGGCTGATTTCCATCCTCTGCACTGACAGCACACTGTTTATGCTGCCTTTATATTAGACAGTACAGTTTGTATGAAGGTGGAATTCAGTCAATGAATCTAAGCATCATCAGCTTAAATTCAAATTCATCTCAGCTACACTTGATGTGACCTGACTCTGACCATGAGCACCACAACCACTGTTCACCA